CAAGAAATCCAGCTTTATGAGAATTCTCCAGAACTCCATTACTCTTACCAACAGTGGCGTGGCGTGAATTATGATATATCGATTGTTATGCCATGTAAATCTATGGTAAAGAATCGATTATGAAGGTACGAACACCCTGTTTATCGATCCTTTTCCATAGGTTTAAACGGCATAACAATCGATATATCGCAAAGCACGCAACGCCACTGCTTACCAAAATTAAAAATCTGCGTAGACAGCTAAGAACCTTAAAATAATCTGAAGTCTGCAAAACGGAGGATTCTGGAAATCAAGGAAAATGGAATCAATTTTTAGGATAAAAGTCAAAAAAATCAATGCGCACTAAAAATCAATGAAGCTGCTCGTCTGAAATTTTTACCTCCTTAGATTAATACCCATTTTTTAATGGATGCCCAATTTTAATTATGAATGTAAATTATCGTTCATGAGAATTAATATGCTCCCCTTTTTATCCATCCCTTCTTCTTCTCCTTCATTTCCCAAAAATCACTCCCTCCCTCCCCCTTCCAACTTCAGCCCAAGAGACTCGTGCAATGAAGACTGGAAAACAAAGATTCGCCTTCAATTAGCAGGCTATGCAAAATAGCCGTCGTGACGCACGTATAGTGGTATCATAATTTCGCATTGAGATTTCAACAGTGTGTTGAAGGCGCTCCTCTTTATCCTATATGTGTGGCCTTTTAGTGTTGTTAACCGGAAGCTCATACTTAAACTATACTCAATCGAGTCGTAATTTTGGAAAATGTATGGAGGAAATTATTTTTCATTCCAGGAATATAATTTTGATTTGTCTGTAAGCCTCATATCTGAAAGGAAGAACTCAAAAAATCGGTTCAGATTGCGGTTTATAAGTCTGGTTGTTTTATTTTGCATATCCTCCGACGAAACTTTAAAAATCACTGTTTCGTAAAAATCTGAAGACCGAATAACAGATCATTTTGGAAAATCGTTAAAAATGGAAACAGTTTTGAGCGTAAAAGTAAAAGCTGAGAGGCAATTCTCAGAGCAATGCACACCATCTCTTTTGTAAAAAATCAGGGAGTCGATCTTTGCGCTCTCCTGAAACTTTTATCCCCTTCTCCCAGTTTGAGTGTTTTTTCAGTGGAAGGCCAATTGAGGCAATTTTGAACGTAAAGCATGTTAATAACTATACTTTTTTATATTCACTTTTTCATCCCTCCGTTCTTTTTCTCTTCCTCTTTGCAAAAAGTTTCATTCCATGACTATATTCAATCCTAAATACTTTTGCAATGGAAATACGAAACCGAAGATTCGCCTTCAATTAGCCAGCTATGCAAAATGACTGTCGTAAAGCACGTCTAGTGGTATCACAATTTTGCATTTAGATTACACAGTGTGTTGAAGGCGTTCCTCTTCATCAATCTGCAACAAATCTTAACTGACACTGACTGATAACGTTTGGTCTTGCCAACCGTAATATAGTCTTCCGCAAAGGTTTTAATACTTGATTAATGTAAATTTACTCCTCTGGTGATGTAACCGTATACTTTCTTACGTCAGGACACCCTCGATTTGTGCGAGCAAACTCATTCTGCAGTTTGATTCATGACAAGGGTCTCTCTCTGCCCAATTTGAAAGTACGGTAACATCAGAGACGATATATTTTAGAGACAAGTATCGTAAGTAAGCAATCTAAGTGAGGTAATCGAGCTAGGCAAAACTTAAATTCAGGGTTCAACGATTTTCAAAATTTTACCTGGGTGTTTATAGAAACAGGCTGTTCAAAAATCAGTACTTTTACAGTACTTTTTCAGCGCATTCCCAAGAAATGCAGTACCTCCTCAACAGAAAAATTCTGTACTTTTTCAGTACCTTCCTTTCACGAAATTCGAGAAATTTTAAAAATTTGAATTCTTCGCTCAAATTGCGACAAAAATGATAAAATCCCGGACCTTCTTGCGGAATTTCTGCACTTCTTCAGTACTTCCGGACCGCCCTCTGAAAAATCAGTACTTTTTCCGGACTTTCCGGACTTTCCGCACTTGTAGACACCATGTTTTACGCTTTTATTGCGGAATCGAGCGATTTAATAGCAGATTGACTGAAAAAGTACTTTTACAGTACTTTTTAGTACATTCCCAAGAAATGCAGTACCTCCTCAACAGAAAAATTCAGTACTTTTTCAGTATCTTCCTTTCACGAAATTCGAGAAATTTCAAAAATTTGAATTCCTCGCTCAAATTGCGACAAAAATGATAAAAATCCCAGATTTTCTTGCGGAATTTTCGCACTTTTCCATTATATCCGGACTACCCTTAAAAAATCAGTGCTTTTTCCGGACTTTCCGGAAATTCCGCACTTGTAGACACCCTGTTTTACGCTTTCATTGCGGAATCGAGCGATTTAAAAGCAGATCTGGCAAATCGCAAACATTTGAATTTTTCGCTCAAATTGCGACAAAAATGATAAAAATTCCGGACCTTCTTGCGGAGTTTCCGCACTTTTTCAGTACTTTCGGACCGCCCTTAAAAAATCATTAATTTTACCGGACTTACCGAAAATTCCGCACTTGTAGACACCCTGTTTTACGCACTGAAAAAAAACTCGGGCCGTGGGATCCGCGATTACGGGCTATATAGACATGCCGTCCGTTCCGGGCTCAAAGGCCAAAAATTCTGGCTGCTGGAGGCGTAGCTTCGATTGCTCCGGGTTCAGAGGCTGAAACTACGGCTCCAGCAGCCGGAATTTTCGGCCTATAAGCCCGAAACGGACGGTTTGTCTGTATAGCCCGTAATTGCGGCTCCCACGGCCGGAGTTTTTTTCGGTGCAGTACTTCCGGACCGCCCTTAAAAAATCAGTACTTTTTCCGGACTCTCCGGAAATTCCGCACTTGTAGACACCCTGTTTTACGCTTTCATTGCGGAATGGAGCGATTTAATAGGAGACCTGGCATCGCGGCGGTCCTTCCGCGGAACAAGCTCCGAGTGTCGAAACGCTTAAAAAAAAAAGGAAATAAAAAATTTTAATTTCTCGCTCAAATTGCGACAAAAATGATACAAATACCGGACCTTCTTGCGGATTTTCCGCACTTTTTCAGTACTTCCGGACCACCTTTAAAAAATCAGCGCTTTTTCCGGACTTTCCGAAAATTCCGCACTTGTAGACACCCTGTTTCACGCTTTTATTGCGGAATCGAGCGAGCTTCTTGCGGAATTTCTGCACTTTTTCAGTACTTCCGGCCCGCCCTTAAATAATCAGAACTTTTTCCGGACTTGACGGAAATTCCGCGTTTGTAGTCACCCTATTTTACGCTTTTATTGCGGAATCGAGCGATTTAATAGGAGACCTGGCATGGCGGCGGTCTCCCCGCGGAACAAGCTCCGAGTGTCGAAAAGCTTAAAAAGCTGGCGGCTGGTGTCCGTTATCCGACGGGGGCGTTGATCACGCGAGTTGCGCTTAAGTCCTTTCATCCGATTAAGTAATTACAGGATCCCACCGATCCGGGGATCCTCGGGCCCCGGTCCCGTTGCAGTTCAAATAACGCCACCCTCCCTCGCCCCCTCCTCCCGGCGGGGTTGGTTACGGTGAGAAGAGAGTGTGTTGCCGCCGGGCGAGGGGGAGGCGGAGAGAAAGTTCATTAACAAAAATCAATTCGGCGCCGACAATCAAAGAAGTGAGTTTCGAGGGAAAACAGAGACGCGAGGAAAAAACTAGGTGAGGCGGGCTCACTATTTGCAGCCGGGTTGCCGCTCTTGCCCGTGCGGAGAGCAGACCCGGTTCATTTTCGAGTGCATGTATACGGGAGTGTACTGCCGTCTCTGTGCCGCTCTCTGATTGGTTCATTAGTTTTAGGCTACCACACTGAAAAAAAAATCTCGCTGTATTTACTAAGAAAAGGGTAAAATTACCAAGAATTCAGGGTTCTATTTGATCCCAGTTTTTTCTTGGTAAAATTACCATTTATGGAATTGGTAATTTTACCAAGAAATTTCGGTAAAATTATTGAACTTTCTCGGTAATTTTACTGGACCTTGGTAAAAACGCCAATATTTTTTATCGACTGTGGTAAAATTACCGAGATAAAATGGCAAAGTTACCGGGAATTGATTGCCAATAAAAGTGGTATTCTTACCTCGAAAAAACAGTAAAAATACCGATTTTTAGGTAAGCTTACCAGTCTGTCTTGGTAAAAAAAAGTGAGATGGTAAAGGTACCAACGGACCTTAGTAAAACCGCCGAGAATTTTTTTTCAGTGCATGGAGCTCCAAAGTTGGACCAATGTAAACAAATCCGACCCAGAGGAGCACGTATTGTAGACTGAGAAATGAATGATAATCACACTCAAAGCTTGATTTCCGGCAATAATATTCATCAAAGTTCGATCCGAACTCAATTCAGAAGTCTGATATAAAGAAAATATCTTTCACACCCAAAATCACGTCTAGAGCTTTGTAGAACTTTTCCGCCATCTTGTTTGTTTACATCGGGACAAACTAGGAGCGGAGGGGCTGGGGTCTGTTTAAATTGGTCAAATGTTGGGACTCCATGATAGCCGACCAATCAGACAGTGGCACACTTTTTCTGTAGTGAAAGGATTGAGATGACAATACTCTCCCGTATACAGGTACTCCAAGGATAAATATTCAGAAATTTGCTCCAAAATTCTTGATTCGTCGAAGGATATTAGGCAAAGCCTGATGACTCATACGGCGCACAGTGGATCGAGTCAATTAGAGAAGTCGGACATGATATTTTAACTAAAACTGCAAATTTTTATGTTTAATTCGTCACATTTTAAAGTTTATGGGGTGGTTCTAAAAGAAAATCTCAAGAGGAAACCGATGAAATCACTTTCAGAAGCTCAAAATTTCGTTTAAATGGAGTTAAAATCGTTAAAAGTTTCAAAGTTATATCCGATCTCCCCCATTGACTCGATCCATTGTGCGGCGCTTTAAGTTAGCACGGCAGAAGTTGTCCGTGTTATAAAGGTGTGGAAAAAAGATTCGAGTGTGACTTACCCGAAGAATGCTCGGAGTGAGAGGTGGAGAGGGGGTCTGATGCTGAGGTTGTCCACGCTGCAGCTGTCAAAAGCAGAAAACAGAGCCCCAGCATTATGCCCGCCAGTGTCACATTCCTATGGCGTCTGCAACAAACGCAAAACACGTGATCATTACTTCAATGTCGATCGAGTAGTTTTTCAGCGCTGGATCAATATTTTCAATATCGTTTTTAAATTGGATTTGATTTTGCAATGTGGAACAATTATCTCTGGTTCATTTTAAAAGTAGAATACGCGAAAAAAAGTAACACAACCCCAACAATACTCCTAGCTGATTATAGCGCCATGTATTAGAATAGTTGCACAAGCCAGGGGTATGGTAAAGTCAGCTGAAAGCGTGGTTGGATTAACTGTACCTCTAGCTGGTGCCCTCACAGTCAGCATAAGTGTGGTTGGATTAACTATACCACTGGTTGGTGCCATAACACTTCTAGCCAGTGCAACTACTCTTATGGCTGGCGCCAAAATCCGCTAGAAGAATAGCTGAGATGGTGATACCTTTTTTCAGTGATTTGGATTGCATTTTGGAAAAAGGAACCAAGAGCATTCTGATGTTGCTAAGATTGTACAACTTACGTTCCTTGCAATAAATTTACTAAAACCTTGCAAAAAATTAAACTCACGAAGGTAATTTTTGCATTGAATGCATATTTTATTGGGAATAAAAATAAAATTTGTTTGGATAATCAGTTTATATTTGCAAGATAAAAATAATGGGCCTGTTGCAAACTTTTGCTGGAGCAAAAATAAGAATTGCAACTCGTAGAAAGTGTCTCAAAAATCACGATGAACGCATCGGCAAAGTCTGGAATGACACACAATACTAACACAATATTTACTTACTTCAAGAATACACAATACTACCTTACTTCACAATTTGCATAAGAAATTTGCGCTTTTTCGAGCCTCCCGCTTCAAAAACAATACCATGGCACAGGTTAAAATTTCGTCAGAGGAGTCATTTCATCCAACCCCTGCTCACAAGGATACTTTGTAACATACAGTGAAGGGACGATGATTCTAAGACCGTGATAACAGTCGGCGTGTTTACATTCACATTTTTCTCGCGTTAATAGATATCCGCCTTGATTGACCTCGTGCTCTCCTCAACTTGCTACGGAAGTTTCGGCCATGTTGAGCAGAGACTGAATGGAACGACTCCTCTAACAAAATGTTCACCTGTGCTGTAATATCGTTTTTGAAGCGAGGAGCTTAAAAAAATGCAAATTTCATACGCGAATATAAATCATCTGAAAAATTGGAAGGAAAATATTCATAAGTTTACCAGAAAATTCGTGTTTTATAAATGGAAATTTGGCGACGTCTAAAAGTTCATACGGCGTTTTTTCTGAACACGGAAGTACGTAATTTGGCTATCGCCGGGAATGGAACGATGGTTTCCCTGGTAAAAAGTGGCAGTAGAATGTGTGTTCGAAAATACCATAGACCTACAGCCGGTTGTAAGATATCCTATAGCTTTCAAAGCCGGCTACACAATTTCTTATAGCTTTTTATAGCCGATGGTGACTAAGCAACAGCCAGGCGATAAAGTGTATACTAAACGTTACTAATTACGGATACTAGGACTTAGTGAGTTTTTTGACTACTGCTCTCTTTTTGGGCTGTAGTATCTTGCTTTATTTTGCGAGGAATGTTTCGTACTTTTGAAGGATGCCTGTCATTCTTAATATATTAGAGCGCCTTCAGTTTCGTAAGATACTGTGCAATACCTCTGGTGTGAAATAGTTGCTTCGTGCGCCGTGGCACGCTGCGGCGCGCCAGGCGGGCAGCCAGCGCGAAACGCGCATTGGCGCCTTCAAACCTAACAGGGATACTTCACGCGTTGCGCAATGCGTGAAGTATCCCTGTTAGGTTTGTAGGCGACAGTGCGTCGCTGCACCGCTTTGTGTTAGGCTCTAATATTTAATCTGGCGGAGTCAGCGTTATTCAACTCATGCTTTTGAAATTTTTGCACATCCTGTATGGATTATTCTCATTTTAATTGATGAAAAAAAGATATGTATTAAAGGAAAATATAATGTGTGCTTTGTAAATATTAAGGTGGCTCCGTATCAAACTTAATGATTTCCAAAGCACACTAATTTCTACACACTTCCTTATAGCCTTTTATAATCGATGGCGAAAAAGCAACAGCCAGGCGACAAAGTGTAAAGCCCGGCGATAGGAACAATCGCATAATTTTTTATAGCTTCGTATAGTTCGGCCGTATGATTTTCTCCGCATTCTACAGCCAGCTATATGATTTTCTGTAGCCTTCTTTAGCCGGCTATGAGAATTCCTCTGGTATTTTGAAAAGCAGCTCTTATCGCCAATTTTCACCAGGGTTCGGAACAGATATCGAAGAGACTTTCAAGAAAATTGAGAATAGTTCACTTTTCTAAAGGTTAAATATACCTAGTAAAAGCAAATATTCTGAAACGTTACAAGTGGAATTTACTATCTCAAAGAGGAAAAATACTTTGACGCGAGGAATTGAGGCTACCACATTTACGTCCAATTTCGCATTTCAACGCGTAAAAAATACACAATGAAAAAGGTTCGGAGTTATCGAATATACTGACGCCAAATAACTTCCAGCAAGAGTCCCACTAAACCACAATCAAATCGCTTTAGGCGTCGCGTCTCTTTGTCGCCTCTGACGTAACAGCGTATCTCGATTCCCGCATGAGCTCCAGAAAGCATGGATTTGCATACAAAACAGGGCTCACAGGGAAATTGAGATGTGTCATTACGTCGGAAAGCGACGCCTTGAGTATGCGTAGCGTTTCCCGTGAAGAGGGGGCGGTGTCGTGGCTTCCTTTGCGATATATCGATTGAGATGCCATTTAAACCTATGGAAAAGATCGATTATCAAGGTGCTCGCAACGGACGCCTTAGTAATCGATTCTTTACCACAGCTTCAAATGGAGAAATATCGATAATCGATCGTTCACGCCTCGCCGCTGAGTTGTTTAACCGAGAGCGACCACCGACCGCATGCCATTTAAAATGTCAATACTGGGATTGGAAGGTGCTGAAGTGATTTCGCGAGGGTGTACGTTAAACAGGTGAACGGAAGTGACAATACGTCGTTTCGCGGACGGAGGAGCGTGACTTTATTACAAAGTTGCCAAATTGACTCCCGGGCGTCTACCAGTTACGAAAAGCCAAAATTGGGGACTTTCGAGGACTTTTAGCGGTGTTTTTTCAAGAAAATCGGGGACTTTTTTTCCCTATATAGTACAAGAAAGAGAGCTACTCAGATCGTTGAAAAGCGTATTTCACACGACGAATTTTACACAGGAAAAAAAACACATTGGATCTAGAGTCCAGACTCTTGAAAACGTTGACAAGAAAGAATACTCTTGATTCAATCAGATTTAAGCTTAAATCAAAAGGAAATCCGCTCAAATTAAGAGGTTTGGTTCTTGATTTAAGCAAAAATCCGATTGAATCAAGAGTATTTTTTCTTGTCGATGTTTTTAAGAGTCTGGACTCTAGATCCAATGTGTTTTTTTTCAGTGAGTCATGTTGAACCGATAAAAACATACGAAAAATCAAGCAACACTTTAATTTTTATAATCCCGGTTATACCGCGCCGCCGCGGCTGGAGGGAAAATTTGAAAATGCCGGTGTTTAGGATGATTTTTGTTATTTTTTGGGGACCTGAACAAGAAAATTGGGGACCTTCGGGGATATCGGGGGCACCCTTCCAAAATCGAGGATACTCAGGGACATTGGGGTCTTTTAGGGACCGGCAGACACCATGGACTCACATAATTCAATTTTACGGGAATGGAATCGAAGGTGGATTGAATGGTTTCAATGTGTAATTTGAGGAGCATCAGCAAGATTCGAAATTATAAAAAGATCATTCTCTTAAAAAGAAGAAAAATGTTTGCCTAAGTTTCGTTTGAGCCGTCATCAACATCGTCAGCTTCCGGCCAAAGTATCACAATCTCCATGCGACGTTTCAAAATTTCCGCCTCCATTTTATTTTTTGACAGAGAAATTGTTGGTCGATTCTGTTTTAAAATTTCACTGAATTTTATTTGATCAATAATTGATAACTTAAAGATTCAAAGACATTTCTTCAGAATTTCGGATTATCACATCAAGCTGTGGAACTCTCACAAAAGTTTACCCAAAAACACTCCGAATGTATGTTCCGAGTGAAAATCGCGAATCTTTTTGTCTTTACAATATTCAGTTAGGGTGTACTGTCAAAGTTATTTCAAATTGATGTTGGGTCATACCTAATTTTAAGTGCGCCTATAAATACCTGACGCATTACAGTGGGGTATGACGCTCCGAAATCTTGAGAAATGTTCTAAAATCTAGATATCATCAATTTTGATCAATCGAGTACGAGTACTTATCATTCTCCAAAGTGCTGAAAACCACCTTTCAATTTTTTAAAATATTTTTTATGATCATTTTCGATAGAAAACTATGAAGATTTATGACAAATAACGATGATTGATTTTTCTCCTTGATAAAAAAAACGGATGTCACAGGGAATTAGCTTCGACGTAAATCAATATACGTGTTTTTCTAGGAGGACCAATATCGAGATTATTTCGCCACAACTCAAAGCCAAAAGTGTTCGAAACTTTCCCAACGCCACTTTCAATTTCCGCTTTCGAGAGTTGACGGTTCAATTGTCTACAGCAGCGGCTCGCGGCGGACCCAAGGTTCCGACTCATTGCATCAGATGGGAAAGTTTATTGACAAGAAAGTCGCCATGAGCTCGCACAAAATCGGAAACCAGCCAGCTCAATAAGGTTATTAATCTCTCCCTAGAGAGGGATCGATATTGTCTACCGGCTCCTTTAGTTTCAACCTTTGCGGTGCAGAGGTAAACAGCGCTGCCATTATTCGCGTTGTGAGTCGGCTGCGTGGTTCACAAAATCACAGTTTGTAATTGAGGAGCTTTCCGGAAAAAGGGCACATAGCAAAAAATCGCGTGTGAGACAAATGCATTTTAAGTTTCCATCGTTACTTTTTGGCCACTGATGGTAACTTTCATCGCAGCTTGGACTCCCGATCTAGAACATAAGTCACACTGGAAAAAAAAACACATT